CTTACTTTAGCAAAGGAAAACCAGTCTCCTCTTGGCTTATATCGAAATCCTCTGACATTCTTCTTTACAAATCCTCGTTTTGTACTTCTAATTAGTGACCGTTGTTTTGATCTCTCCGCTGCGCTTCCACGTTCGTCACTTCTGAGCGGCGCATGCGCAGCGCTGACCTCATACGTCATCCGCCCGGAGCTGCTTCCATTTACAAAAGTGAGCGCAAGCTAGATTAAAGGGATTATTATGTTTTGAATATGGATATTTTTCTTACAAAACGCATTAATTCGCAACAGAAGGCCTTTGTTCACCCCCCCAGAGCCGTGCGAGACAGTTTTTTTAAGGATGGGCGCTTTTTATTTCACTTATTTTGGACTGAAGCAATGCAACACCCGCTGAGTGCCATGAAACAGCTTGAAAGATCAAAGACCATTTTTAATATAACTCCGACTGGATTCGTCTGAAAGAAGAAAGTCATATACACCTAGGATGACTTGAGGGCGAGTAATTTATGGGCTAATTTTCATTTTTGGGTGAACTAACCCTTTAATAACTGCAGATCAGCAGACTACAAATCAAAATCAATGACGGAGACCGACATGATATGCGGGGAGAAATGAAAGATGTTTCTACGAATTAAGAATTTATTCCTACGACTTATTCATCTGTTCCCTCATTTTAGATTAATCATGGGTTATCTAGGGAACAAATGAATGAAACATGGACCGTGGCCACAAATTAATAAGTTGTAGGAACAAATTAACAAGTTGTAATATATATATATATATATATATAAAACTGCGAGTGAATTTAATATATATAAAATGCACTCTCAGTTGCTTGCTCGCGTATTGCGCATGTGCCACACGCACCCCAAATTGAAATAGCTTAATCAACCATCGATATCTTTAATCGATTACATCTCTTATCGACAATTAATCGATCATCCCTAAACCCATTTTTTGATGCTCTGTACCCTCATTAACAGGTTAATTCCTTTTCACAATGATTTAGACACTAGACTGCTGCCATGTTCTCTACAGTTTGAAGTGAAAAGTGTATGTGAATCAGACAACAAACCTCATTTTTCTGGGTCTGACTGAGGGCCCAAACTGTTCCTAAAACCTCGCTGGAACTTTCGCGGTCAGGCCAACATATTATTTGTGACTCTATGCTCCGATATTTTCATACTTTCAATGATTAGCAACGATTGTCAAATAAATCTTGTCTCTTTCCTTTGGAATGCAGGGGAAAAGGGAAGGGTCCTTCGGTCACTCTCAGGTCAGATCTGAGAGTCTGCTGGAGAATCTCCTGTGGGACAGGGAGCTATAAAATTGTCTCTTTTGTTGATCGGATTTTAGCAATTTATGTGTCCAATGGACATGAGGGTATCCCTATCTGGTCCTTGAAAGCCCGTAAAACGCTTTTAAACACTGTGAAAGTACTGTCTTCTTTGGCATGTCTTGAGATATAGCCAAACAGTCCAGGAAATGCTTCACCTTCACTGACCCTGCATGAGTTTTACGACTGCATCTGTTGGATAGGAGTCCTTCGATTTGTCTCAATGGAATGTGAGGGTTTGATGTGTGTCTCCATCATGTAGGTGGGTCCGTTGTGAGGCATAGATCCTACAATATCATCCATAAAGTGGATGAAGAGTGAGAATGAATGTGCAAGACAAAAAATGGGAATGACATGAGTTCAAGATGAAAATATGAAAGTCCAAAAAGAGCCAGGACAGCCCTCAACTCACATGAACTTCTCACAGGTCACATCAAAAGGACAACTGGCCAGATAAGCAGATGAGTTATTACATATTGTTGACTAACGAAAACACTTAAGGTCTCCATTCACAGGTGAATTGGAAAAGGATATGTGCACCAAATATAGGACGTTGGCTGAAAGAAATGGTAACAAATAAGCCAATGGAAAAAAATAACTTGTATATTAAGAGATAAATATACCATTTTTGATGGAGTTTGGGGACCTTTCAGATTGTTCTTAAAATGTGGTGGAGTTGGAAATGTGTCGATAGAAGAATAGGTGATACTGTATATTAATGTAAAATACTGAGAAGTTTTTCTCTTTTTTTGGAGATGTTTTTTTGTTGTTGTTCTTGATCTGTCTATTACATTCACATGTGTACGGTTAAAATGCAATTAAAAAGATTGTAAAAATTGATGATTGTGTAAGAGAAACTCTCAGAGGAGGGAATTGGGAAGGAAACTTTCAAATGAATCATACAATCAGTACTTCAATACTTTCTGTTTTAGCAGGCCTAACATTTTAAGTACATTTTAGGGAACGGAAATGTTCTAAGCTTGAGTAGTGTTGCAATAATGAAACATTGACGAGACGAGACTGCTAGACATCTGACTGAAAATACTTATTACTAGACGATCACATGATTTGAGGAGCAAGATGAAGTAATCAGTAGCAGAGGGGGGTTCCTGATTTGTCACATAAGTGAACCAATCATATTAAAGGGGTGATGCGATTTCAATTGTTCATTTCTATTTGTAGTGTTACAAGCTCTTGGTGCATAAAGAAGATCTGTAAAGTTGCAAAGACTAAAGTCTCAAATCCAAAGAGATATTCTTTATAAAAGTTCAGTCAGCCACGCCTACCTAAAACGGCTCGTTCTAACACGCCTCCACATGTCTACATCACTATGTGGGAAGATTTGCATAACACCACCCAAATGTTCACGCAAAGAAAGAAGGCGTAACTTTTATTCTCGCTGTAGTATTGTTGCTATCGCTGCCACGTCATGAAGAGCTGTGTGCTTCGTTGTGAAAGCGAAACTACTTTGTTTGGTCTTCCAAAAGAGGACGATATCTGCTTCGTCATGCCTAGAGCTGATCTGTGCTGGTCGCTGAGGAAATACTACAACTTTGCGCTGTGGATCGCCGGATCGGCTTTCACCGTGGACGAAGCGGAGTCCAGCCCAGAGTCGTCACATGTGGTTGCTGCAAGCCCTCCGGACACTCCTTCGTTGAATCTCGCTGTTCTCAAGCCCACCGGCCTCCGCTCACTTTAGCCCTCGGCCGTTTCTCCTGCTAGCCCCCAGCCTCTGCTCACTCTAGGCCGCTGTGTGTGTTGTCATTTCTCCGATCACAAATGCAGACATCGTTTTATGTTTACACGGCGCGATGCAACGCAACGCTTAAAAAGGGTGCATTTCATTACACCAAATACACCAAATAATGTTCTTTTTAGCAACATCATATGACCCCTTTAAAGGAAAATGGTGTAATGTGACATTGTAGTGAACATCAGCAAGATGGCAACCCCCTTTCCACACAATAAAGTTTCATACTAATGAGATCAGGCTTTGTGGACAATAAAGGATGCTTGTGCCTTCAGATAAACAACACTACCTCTTGTGGAGAGGGGGGGGGGTAACAGTAACATACAGTAACCCCCGTTGTTCTCTCTCAAGTTTATCATTTGTGGAAGGCAGGATGAGGACTTCAGCGTTACATTGATCAAAGACTGATCCGATCACCATGTGCTCTTTCACTGATCACGGTCCTTCATTCTATAGACCCAAGTGTGAATGACCACTGACTACCCCAGACTGACCAAACCGGTTTTACAATTTCTAGTTTTATATAACCTATTTCCTTTGTGCATCACTGCCATGTGAATAAAACAAAAGCATGGATGCTCATGAATTAATAGAGATCTACTCGCTCAAAATTGGGTTTTCTTATGGTAGTACCTGTAATATCAAGGCCTAATGTCCAATTTAACACATCCTCTGTGGCGGCGCAGAAACCATGACACAAAATGGGCTGATGGCATCAAATTTGCCAAGTTCAATGGTCTCTAAAAAAAGAGTGGTACTGTAAAAAGGTGTTTGAAATTTGGCTTTCATTAGGGCAGTATGCCATATTTCAAGGTCCTAGGTCTCTTTAACGCATATTGTGTGGAGGCCAAGAAACCACCGCGAAATGGGCTGATAGCACAATTGGTGGCTCAGTGTGCATTGTCCTATATGTTAAGTTTAATGGTTCCTTGTGTGCACATAAAAGTCTGTATATTTTTCATTTTTGAAAAGGTCCTTGAGGCTGTGTAATACGGTGCTAAGAATAAAGTGAGAAGAAACACAAAATGCTTATAACCTGCATTTTGCATAATGAAAAAGTGCAAACTTATTTCGTCACTGGAGACGATTCGGGGATACGTCGCTTAATACGAGACCCCAAGTAAACTAAAGTCAGGTGCGTAAGGGGAATTTCTACCACAAGTATAATTTCATGTTTGTAAGCATTTTGAATCAGGGTTTGACTTCAGTCTTGAGGTATCCACAGGTTTTAGTGATGGAAGTTACTGCAAAGGCCATCCATTGTTTTCAGAACGATTTTGAAACGAGCAAAAATTCAACTCTGCTGTACTAATCATCCACTCAGTTTCTCTCTTCCACTCTGGGACACTAAAAATGTTAAAAAGTATAAAAGTGATGTGTAGCCAAGTATGGTGTTTCATACTTTGTATTTATCCCATTTAATTTATTTTATTATTACTATTGTCGCTTGCGTTTAACTGAAAAATCTGATGCCCAGAATGTTTATAGTGAGGATGAGCCTAGGGTAGTGATTCATGATGAAGCCAGCTTTGAGATGCACTGCAGTCAGATACCAGTTTAACTCTGTATATAGGGTTAAAAGAAACTCTTCAAGTGAACACTTTATAGTATTTTCAATGTCAACTTGGAACACGGTGGAAATGCCATTGACTGGAATTCTATGAAGACACTCAGTTTGGTGCGAAACTCACCCTTACGTAACTGGAATTTGTTGCTCATCTTACTTCAGATTATTTACATTGTTTTTTTTAAGCATTTGATCAGTGAGCATCATCAGCTTTTCAAAGTGATGCTAACACCTCGGGTCGGGTGTGCATTATTTTCTAATAATTCAACAAACCGGAGTCAATTATTCCGCTTATACTGTGGTTAGCACACCTCAAATATTGCACGGATTTCAAGACATTCGTCAGGTTTTTGTCCTTAAAATGCTCTTGTGAGTAGGATTCATTTCTTATGCATGTCATCCAACACCTGTTTTATGTAGCATACTAAAGCTGAAGTCAGCTTCAAATCGTGAAATTATGCAATCAGTAAATCAGAAACCGCTCATGCTGCATGTCTGCATGTCACGTTGGTTTTGGGTTTGGGTGTATGCTCTTGGTTTCATGTCTTTCATTTTGAAGTGTAGTCACAGCCGTGGTTCCTGGTTGTCATGTGTTCCTTTAGTTCACGTGTCAGCAGACAAGCCATATGCATGTTTATTTATCAGTTAAAACACTTGATCACAGATAACATTTCATTGTCCAATACAAATCTGCACATACAAAAATGCAGGTCTTATGTTTTTATGTCTATATTTATTTATTATTGACATGCAGCTAGAATGCATGGGATTTGAACTCGGGTCAGTCGTGTCAAAGGCTCGATCATCTGCAGCCTGTATTTACTCACCGCCGTCTTAATGTAAGTTTTTTATTTTCTATGGAGGAGAAAAAGCTCAACGTTAAAGATCACGGTGTCATTGTTTTGGTAGTAAACTGTGCATAAGACAAGGGGCGTGTAGTAAAAATGTGTTGGTTTTCTGGTCATTGTTTTTACCACACTGTCACATTTTAGACTGTTTTTCACACACACACAGTAAACATAAATAGGCTCCAGCTCGCCCATGTTTAATGTGCTCTGCTGCCTCAGTACAGTCCAGTATATACTGTAACATGACTGCCCCCTACTGGTCAAGTGTTTCCTGTAGCAGAGCATTCCTCGTGCTCCTGCGTGATCCCTTCCCTTTCAGCACACCTTCTCAATTGCCACATCTGTAGATACTCCTTTACTGGAAGCAAACATCATTTTACTCCCCAGAACAGCTCACAGATACAACAGGTAACTTTAACAAAGTTCCGCTGTGTCAGGTTAATATCAGGCCAATCACACCCAAAGGGTTCCCTTTCATGGGAACTTCGAACTGCGTCCTCTAGGGGTCGCTATGGGGAAACCTAGAGGACGCAGTGTCTCGTTCCCTACTCAGGGAACCATGGTTCCATAAGGAACCCGAGACGTTTTTTGTTCCCATGCTGTTTTTTTAGTTGTTTTCCTATGTGAACATGCTCTAGATGACAGTCTTTCACCATTTTGTGTCTTAAAAGGTTTAAAACGTGTCTAGAGACACCTTCATTCGGCTCACGTCAGGTGTATTGTTGCTCTCACTGATCATTTGGTCTGAAGAGTCTCACGTCTTATTGAAGTGTAATCACATTGTATAGAATAGTTGCACACTTTAAAAAAAAGTAGCAAAATATACGATCTTTGTCCATAAATGTACTGTGATTAAAAGATGTTAATTTTAAACCTCAGAAAAAAACTTTTAAAATATATTCTGACAGCTTCTTTCACTGTTTGAAAGATCCCATAATATTTGAATGCAGCTTTACTGTACAGCTTTACAATATATTTGATTAAATGCTGTGATTAATGTCATATTTTACAATGCCAGAAGCTCGTGTCAGTCTTGTGAGGAATCATTATATTCATGATACAAACATCAATTCAGATCTGATCTCAAGTTGATTTCTACAGAAATAATAAAACGAGAGAGTAATGAATGACATGTTCTTCATAAATCTCTCGTCAGTCTCTGATTCATCAACACAGTTTCACTGATGATTTATAATAAACATAAACCCCAGGATAGAGCGTCTGAGTGAATGTGGTCTGGACTGTGTGGATGAGGCTCATTGTGTCAGAGACGCTGTAGAAGGACAGAGTTCCTGCACTGTGATCCACATACACTCCTATTCTCCTGCTGCTGCTGCTGCTGATGATGGGTGTCACAGAGAGAGTAGTCCTTATGTTACTGTGTATGAATGAGTATCTGGAGCGAGAGCAGTACAAACTCCAGGACTGATCATTATATCCAAACACACACTCATAACCTCCCTTCCTGCTGATGCTCTTATATGACACTGAAATATCCTGTGTGTGTGCATGTTTATGTGGTTTATGAGGACACAAATTTATACATGGGTAATAACATAGGGTAAAATACATGTATAATAACATGGGTATGACAGGTATTACAACGAGTAGGTGATTTATGAGGACATTTTCAGTGTCCCCGTAATTCAAAAGGCTTATAAATAATTCAGAATGAGTTTTTTTGAAAATCTAAAAATGCAGAAAGTCTCCTGTGAGGGGTAGGTTTAGGGGTAGGGTTGGTGAAGGGCAATAGAATATACGGTCTGTACAGTATAAAAACCATTACGCCTTTGGAGAGTCCCCATAAACCTGTGTGGGTGTGTGTGTGTGTGCGTGTGTGTGTGTGTCTCTGTGTGTGTGGGTGTGTGTGTGTGTGTGTGTGTGTGTAGACGTACATTTCTTTAGTCCTGCTGTAATCCTGGATTCTCCTCCATGATCCACACTAGAAAACACACAGAGTCACATTCAATCATTGAATAAACTGTTGCTATGCAGTTGCTAGGGTACATGGGGTGGTTGCTAGTAGGGCTGTGTATCACCAGTAAAATACGTATCCCGATACGGGACTGCACTGAATTTCACCTCAGCAGAATTCAGTAAAACAGCTGTTTATGAAACTAAAGATGTAAAATCATCTTTGCATTGCTGGTAGATGACCATTGCACAAATCTTAACACACTCTCTATGTTTAAAAAATCAAACTAAAAATCTGTCAAACTAGAAGTCTTCACTGCAGCTCACACACACATTCAGTCACTCACAGATCACACACACGTTAGCAGCACAGACACAATTTGCTCAATAAAACAGCCGAACCGCTTAAGAGCTACTTCTTTCTCAGCAAGGAGCTGGTAACATCATTGATTTAAGCAATTAAAGACACAGCTGCACTGTTAAAAGAGAAACGCAGCACAAACTGAGCTAATTCATACATAGACAGTCTCTCTCTCTTTCTTTCTTAAATGAACACTTGATGAATTACACTTTTCTGAGAACAGAATATCGAAGTGGAGATCACTAAACTGCAAGTTTAGCAGTGTTTCCAGAAAGCAGGTGCTTTTATCCACAGTAGACAGAGCGCGTGCATACGGTTGCCAGATTGACAGAAATAACTAACACACTTAGGAGATATTTCAGTATTGCACAAGTGTGAAGCTCTGTTTCAGAGATTATGTCTCTATATCAGGAAACCTCAGTTGTGTTCCTCTGCGGCCAGATTAAACTTTGTTGTAGCCTAAATATTATGCTCTATTTATAATTTTTTAAGAAACCTGCACTTTTCCACTCCGTTTTAAATGCTGTTCTTGTATTCCAAATTAAGTGCGGTCCACTGCTGCAGAATGCATACCGAAACATCTGTATCGATACCCGTATTGTCAAGTAGTATGTGACGACACATTGTCGTATCGATGCATTACTACAATATGTTTAAATGACAACTAAAAGAGGCAGTCTCACTTGTTTAACTGTTGCTACAGAGCACTGAGCAGCAGAACAGCCAGACGCAAGAACAGTTTCTTCCCGCAGGCCATATACAGCCTGAACAATTAAAACATTCATAACTATACATTGTCCATCATAACTGACACATTTATACATCGAATCTGAAAATTGTAAATTTGTAAACTGCACAATTGTAAATAACATCAGTACATTCATTTAAACAATTACATGTTTTTTTCCCTCTATATTTCTACTTCTGTATTGTATTGCATTATTTAATTTTCTAGTTCCCTTTCATGGGAACTTCAAACGGAGTCCTCTAGGGGTTGCTATGGGGAACGCCTCGTCGTGACCCGTGTCTGAAGCATACATTGAAAAAACACCAACTCGTTGGCCGGTGACAGCCATGACGTCACTACCGGTGCGACTATAGTATAAATAGGCGCCGGGAGCTACACATCATTCTCTTCTTCGTCTTCATTGACTGTTTTGTTTGAAGCGTGCATTTCTGTGGTAAGAGCGATCTCTATTTATCTCATTAAACGCTTTGCTAGTGCTCGCCATAATGATGTGTGCATCCGTGTTGACGTTGTTTAACATCTGATGACACACACGATCTATGCGTTGTTTGTTTGGGCAAAGAGCACACACGCGATGTCTCCGAGGGGGCAATCGCCGTGCACTGCGAGCGTTTTTTCCAGGGAAAAAAGCTCCGCTCTCGTTTGTCTCTCTTTTCGAGGAAAGAGGGGCAGCCATCTGCTTCCCGGGATCGAGGCCCCGCCGCTGTCAGCTATCTCTCTATGGGTGAGACGTCCTCTAAGACTCCCTTCCTTGACATCTCGCTCGGATGCCAGGGCATACGCAGCAGCAGCAGGTCGGGCTTCATTGCACACAATGGTGATGCTCCAAGCATATCAGGCTGACCGGCTGAAAGACCGGGATAGAAGTCCAGGTCTGAGCCCGAACAACCCAGGGGTCCTAGCCCGTCTCGGTTTGAGGATCAGAGACTGGCTCAGAAGGCTAGTGTCGCGGCTCGCGCTCCTCCCCCGCCCACGGGTAGGGGTAGGAAGAATCACGGGTCAAGTAAAAAGAGTAAAAGACCTAAGGGATGTGATCCAGACAGGGCGTCAGTGCTTTTGTCCGGATCAGAGTGATACCTCAGTATCTACTAATTTCCTTTGGGAGTCTTACATCTGCCCTTATCTTCACCTTCATAAATTCCCCTGTAACCACCATCTCTCTACCTGACTGAGGTTATTTCCTGCATAATAGTCTCCTATACTGGACCTATTAGGTTTGGTTGGTTCTATGGCTTCATAGTGACCATCTTACTGATGGTCCGGTCTAGAGGCTTC